ATCATCCTGAGCTGTTCGCCGTTAGTGATTAACGACGATGCGAGAGCCTTGGTGACGCTGGGATCCTGTGCCGCGTGCTTGCGACGAAGCTGAACTGTCTCCTCGTACACACGCAAAGCATCACCTTGGCGGCCGGCCTCCCTAAGAAGTGAACCCAAGGGATGGAGCAAGGGCACAAGAACCAGGGTGACTGCAGGGTCCACCTCTGCCAGCGTGCGACGCAGATCAACGGCCTCTTGAATGACTTGGAGGACATCGGCGACCCGCCCGCTCGCCCTTAGATGTGAGCCGAGGTTCTGCAGCGAGGTGGCTAAGACACTCGTGCCACCAGGACCGGGGTCCTCCTCTGCAAGTTTGCGACACAGCCTAACAGCTTCTTCGCCATATGGTACTGCCTCTCCGGGGCGGCCCATCTGGTTGAGTGCTATACCCACGTCATTCAATGCGGCCACTAAATCCTTGAATGCGCCGGGGTTCTTGGCAGCAAGCTCGCGACGAAGCTGAATGACCTCTTCGTCGATGTGTAATGCGTCTTCGTGCCGACCCACTGCCCTGAGTGCTGCTCCGAGTTCGTGCAATGACACACACAAATCCTTTGATGCGCTTGGGTCCTTCGCAGCAAACCTGCGACGAAGCTGAACAACCTCTTCCTTGACGCGTAATGCATCTTCTAGGCGACCTACCGCCCTGAGCGTTATCCCCAGGGCGCGCAACGATGCACACAAATCCCTGGTGACGGCTGGATCTGTCTCCGATAACTTGCGCACCAGCTGAACGGCCTCCGCATAAGCCTGCAACGCGTCTTCGTGGCGGTTTAGCGCCACGGAATCCGCCCCCAGATTGCGCAATGTCCTCGCAAGGATGTTAGCGAATGCGGGGTGTCCCGGCGCCAGCTCCCGAAGAAGTCCAATTGCTTCTGTATTGACTCGCAATGCATCTTGGCGGCGGCCCGCCTTCGAGAGCTCTACAGCCCGGTTGTGTAATTCGACAGCACGCTTGCTGATGCTGGCGTCCGAACCCGGCAACGATTGGGAAAGTTGGACAACGGATTCCTCTGAGACACGGACTCAGTACTTCTATACGCTTAGACTCGAAGACGGTGAGGTACAGACCTATCACTTTGAACGTCTCCTTGAATAAACGAAACATGCTGTACTCCGAGGCCTGCTGTTTGCCGAGCAACGAGCCTATTTGGACACAATAGATGAGCTGGATAGTTTACACCCAGATCAGTATCGAGTACCTATTGAGCGGCACGTGGCTTTGGCAGATGGAGAGAGAGCTTGAGAAAGCTACATCTTCTGTCTTGGCGATCATTGAAATTTGATTCCAATCATGATGCGTTCCTGGACGTTTCTTACTGTATTACATGATTCACCTCGAACCGGTGTTCCTAGCAATATTCCATTAACGACACCTCCCTCTGTCGTAACTTGGTCTATAACTCTTGAAATTTATGTTCAAACCCTTAGGTCTTTCGGATTCGGTAATGTCTGCAGCAAACCATGTCGCAAAAATTGTCTGCTTCCTAGGGATTATTCTATTCCCCATCTTTTCACCGTGGATCAATATCCCTCCGAGAGATAGTTTCAAGTCACCAGGGCGCATCCTACCATCTATAACCTCCACCGAAAATAATCCAGCCCTGGGGCAAGGAAAACCACTGGGGCACGTGTAATTTACCCAGTCCCTGTGGGTTGCATCTGGTTCGGTCGGATTTTTGCGAAACTTGCTATGCTCAAATGTTGCTCCCACTACTGACTTCTACCACCACAAGTATGGGCCTAAGGGCACAAATATTAGTAGAGTTCTAAACCCAGAACTGCGGGTGTTGCTGAGCTATACACATACCGAAATCTTGTGATTCTAAGATTCCATGGACTGAATTTTTGCAGCGGGCTCGCATTGGATCGGGCCAATATTGCTAGTCAGCTTGGTGGATATTGAGAAGCCCTCTTGCAGCCCTCCAGTCAGTCCTGTTGCAAGTATTCATGGAGTGTGTTAATTCACTCTTATTGGCTGTGCTGTGGCTCAGTTCACCCACCGAGGACGTGACTGGTCTTTTTCCCATCTTTCTTTCTCGCGAATCATCATAGTGGTTCTGCGACTCCCATTCTCCTTTGGGCCTAGAAACAGACTGAATTGCGTTATTTTGGTAATCGAATTCAAAGAGGAATAAAAGATGAAGGTTGAAAGAGAGAGATCACATCAAAGGATCGATATTTCGATCCGAACAAAGCCAAACAACATCACTGCCGTGTCACGATCCACCAGACGATGAGGACGTCCTCAGCGTCAGTCACTGTCAGTCGCCACCGAGCAGACTTCATGGCCACCCTGGACTAGCGGGGACAACTTCGGAGAACGATTTGTTTTTACAAGCATTCAAGAACGACATGAAGCTACAAGACCGTTCAAGTTGGGTATCTTTCTCCTGCTCAGAATCTCAAGTTAGAACGTTGCCGCCGCCAATTTAGACGCCAGTGTGCTGTCTTTGAACGGCACGGTGGCCACTCCAAAGTCTGTGGTCTGCAACGCCGCCTGTGCCGCCGCAGGGAGGCTCTCCCACGCGATGAGCGGCTGCATGCTGCCCACGGTGGTCGTGAGGCCCATCGCGTGGTTCATCGGGATGATGCTTTCATACTGGATCAGCGGGCTCGTCCCCGTGAGCGAGAAGCTGTCGGTGCTGCAGTTCCAGCCCCCGTGCGCGGATGGGCACACGGCGAGGATGTTCGCGGCGCTGGTACTCGTGGACGAGGCGAGCCATACTTCAGATTGAGATAAGCGCCAACAACGAGTGTAAGTCTGGCGCCGCACCAATAACACCTTCCCAATCATTTATATGACCGAGCCCGTCACTCGGCTCGTCCTTGGGGAAGTACCACGAGTAGAGTAGGCCGAAGCGCCCATCTGAGGTGCCGCTGCGGACGTACACCTGCCCGGTGCTGATGCTGCAGCCGCCGTTGGTTGCGCCCGTGGGATTCAGGCCGCCGCTATGGCGGCGAATCAGTGCGCGGTTTCTGAATGGAGGGAGGTGGCACGTACCCCGTGTTCCCTGCAGCATCGACTGCGGGGAAGGGGACACAGCCGTTCACGACATTCAGGTGCGGCTTATACGCCAGATACACGCTACCGGCTGTACTGGCGGGAACTGTCTGCAAAAACCCCACGACTGCATCTGAATCGATGACGGCGCGCTCCGACAACGGCGACGCGGCGACTACGGCAAGGAGACCCAATTTAATAGTCTGCTTCAAGAGATGGCGTAAAGACATTCCGGGACGACGAGTTGGACGAGGTGTGAGTCTGAGTACCGGCAGACTGACATGGAAGGACACTATCTGAACTTATATACAGTAGGGCATCAAACCGTGCGTAATATGCCTACGGGCGTAAAGATTACGCCCGTATTTGGCCTACGGGACAGCCGTGCGTAAGTCGGCATGTCGGAAGGTTCAGACGGGACGGGTCCCGGGTGTATAGCCGTAGACGGGCGTAATTTACGGGTGGTCGAGTGATCCTACCAAATCGACAAATTTCAAGCGAGTTATGAACTATATTTGTGTGGAATACGTTACCTACGGTTATGAACCGTCCGAAACAATTTCCAGGAATCCAGGTGCGTCTGGGATGCGTCGAGGCCATTTCTCGGCAGGTCAGCGGAATTTCGGACACGTCCGACATGCACCTCACGGCCTGCCGAGGGCCCCGGAGACTGTCAATTGTTGTAGGAGTCGACAGCCGACTCCACCGCCATCCAAGCAAGCGGATGGCGAACCTCGGCAAGCAATCGACAATAACAATTGCGCCCGCCAGGCGCCACCCGTAATTCACGCGTAAACGCACGGTTACGGGTGCCACATTACGCCCCACCCCGTGCCGTTACCCGTCTGACCGTCTAGAGGTCGACGGGACAGGGGCGTAACCGTACGCCCCGTAAACCCGTAAGGTTACGGGGATCTCTCTCCTTTTTTTTTTTTTTGGAGTGTTTGGGATAATGAGACTTAGTCTGCAGAAGCATTCCAAGGTGCTGGTGGTGGACCAGACATTACAGGGGAAGTTTGCTCAGGAGGAAATGCTGTTACCCACAATTATTTAAACCAGTGTGGGACTCCGACCCGAAAATACAATTTATCCTACTTATCCCATGTTGATCAATGATGGGTCGCATACCCACTAAAACCCCCTCTTTTGTCCAGTCATCCGGCAGTGAGTCCTCATCCAGTAGTAGACTCCAAGTGCTTAGCACCAGTTGTTTATTCAAGGCTAAAGAATCAAATCTGACTTTGTCTGTCAACAGGCGGTCCCGCTGTAATGCTCAGTTTATAGTGTTCAACCACTGGTTATAAATTTCTGCTGAAGTTAATATTCTGTCTGGATTTGCAATGACATGGTTGACGTGGAGGTTCCAAATCAGGTGCCATGCAGATGATACCAGAACTGCAAATAGTCTTCCTTTCGCATGGATGATGTGTTCTTGGGGTGATTTAAATTTTACAAGGTTGGATCCTAGTATCAATCCCCAGTTCAGATCAGGCCATCGGTCATATTTCCAACATATTTCAGTGTCCAAAGTTGTTGGGTGAAAAGCCAGATCAGCTTTTGACCTGGTGCACCACACTCCAATGCAATGTGCTCCGGAGATTCAGGAACACCGCATATGTGGCAAATACCTTTTATTTCTGAGTTCTTTATATGACTCCAAAAATCACCGACTCTGAATGTATTGTGTATACATTTCCAAAAGAACTCCCGGGTTAGTCGTTGGAACGTTGTAGATTGGAAAACTCTGCAACAGCGCACCTGATACGATCCAGATTTATAAAGGTGGCCTTTGCTGGAACTCGCACTTGGACATAGTCTTACATGTAATCGCGAGATCCAAGGCGGTGATCTCAGAACTCACAGCAGCGGAGAGTCTGCTGGGATTGTACAACACACTCGTTCAACCGAAGCTCAATGGACCAGTATAAATCATTGCAGGGCTTGGATCTCCACAGACACCGATGGTGAAGCGGTTATCATGCTTGCCTTCCATTTACAGGGATGTGAGTTTATATAAGCAAGCGGCAGGGGTTCGACTCCCCTTCGGTGTATCTTTTTTTGCGCACCACGCATGCTCTGCCTCCCAGGTATTCTCTCATCTTTCCGATGTATTCGCCATTCCGACTCTTCTGTAACACTATGTCATCGGTAAGTAAGTAATATATTAAAGCTACATTTCGTGCGTGGATGCATTCATCCTTTCATGTGAAGTCCCGTGTTCCCCTCCCCTCCGTGTCTCGATGCAATAAGCGCACCGAGTGCATTAAATCGTGTGGTTGTGCTAATCGTCTCACTATCCCGCCTCGCCCTCCTCACCGCCCCGCGCCGCGCTCCTCCTCCCCTTCTGTCGCACACGGATACCAAATCGCGAGGTCGCGCGCGTTACCGCAGCTCCTCCGGCCACTCCGCGCGCCTCCGCGGGCGCCCGTCCGGCGCGAAGCGCGGGTTGGGGACGTAGTGCAGGCCGTCGCCGAGGGGGGCGCCTATGGGGACTGGGAGGTGTGTCAGTGTGGGATGGGGTAAGCAAGGGAGAGAAGGAACGAAGGGGTGGGGGGGAGAGGGGAGGGAGGCGGTGAACGAGAGGGAGAAGAGTCAGGAAGGGGACGGAAGGATGGGGGGAGGGAGGAGGAGAATAAACGGCGATAGGAAGCTGAGCGAGATTCTGGGGAGATGGTAGGGAGGGGATGGAGAGGTGGGAGAGAGACAGATGGAGGGGGTGCATCAGTGTGGGGCGGAGGGACGCAGGAGGAAAGCCGGGGAGAGCGGGGGTGCGCGGAGGACGATGTAAGCTAAGCACGCGCAGAGACGCGCGCAACAACCCCCAAAACACCAAAAGAAAACCGACTACTCACACACCCACCCCAGCCCGCCGCGCCCGCCCCTTCCCATCGCGTCCTCCCACCCCGCGCGCGAGGAGCCCGCCCACCACACGTTGCCCTCCGTGTCCGGCGCGCCCCACTCGGCGTCGTAGGACGCGAGCGCGCGGCGTTTTGCGCTGGGAAGAAGGGAGAAGGGAGGTCAGTATAGCTATAGATGGACGGATAGATGGAAATGGATGGAAGAAGGGAGGGAAGGATGCGGCGGAGAGGGAGGGAGAGGGGAGGGACAAGGGGAAGGAGGCGGAGGCGGAGGCGGAGAATATAGGGAGGAAGAGGGAGTAGAGCGGAAGAAGGGAGGGTACCGGGACGGGGACGAGGACGAGAGTGGGAGTGCAGGAGGAAGCGGGAGAGACGAGGAGGCGCAGTGCAAAGTGGGGCCAAACGCGGTATGGTGAGACGAAGGCAAGGAGAGCAGGACCGGAGGTGGGAAGGGACAGGGAGGCAGGTACTCGATCCCAAGTCGAGGGAAAGCGGAGACGCGTGTGTGGCACCGTGCTAGCGTCCGCACCCAGTCGCGCCCAACCCAACCCCAGTCCCAATACCACAGCAGCGCAGCGCAAGTCCCACCCACTCCCACCCACCGTCACGCGCAGAACAAAAACAAAAGCAGAAACAAAAACGCAAAACGCACCGAACCTGCCAGCACCCCAGCCCCGCCGCCTCCAGCCCCGCGCTGTCGCGCGCCTTTACGCGCTTTATGCCGAGGCTCTCGACCTGGCGGGTGGCGCGATGACCGAGATTCGATTTGAGAGTCGCAAGGGGCGGGAGTCGATGGTGAAGGGATTCGAGTCGAGTCGAGTCGCAGGGGTTCGAGTCGAGGGTGAGGGGACGCCGCAATACCGAGGAAAGAAGGAAACGCGTGAGCAACAACCAGTCAGCTCCGACTCTAATCGACAGGCGAATGGAAAAGAGGCGCGCACCGTCGTCTGCGACAACAAAATGAGCCGCGTATGCTCCGCGCCGAGCGTGAGCGTGAAAAGCGCGAAGAGCGCGGCGCTGCGAAAACACAAATCCGTCAGCCCAACCGTCTTCCCCGCGCACCCGCCCCTCGGACTCACAGTGCGATGATCACCACCTCCTGCGGGTCCACATCCGTCTCGCCCACCCCGCCCCCGCCCCGCACGTTGAACGCCAGCAGGCTCCCGAAGGTGTATATGGTGAATATCGCGGTGGCGTACGCGAACGCGAGGAAGAACTTGTGGTTGCGCGCGCCGACGCACTGGCCGATCCAGGGGCAGTGGTGGTCGAATTTGAGGATGCACTGGAGGGGGAGGGGTGAGTCGCAGATCCAGCACAGTACGAGCATATCGTAGCACGGCACACGCACCGTCCCACACACCCGACAATGGTGCGCCCGATACGGCTTCACGATCGAGCAGCGCGCGCAGTAGCGGTGCGCCGGCAGCAGCGGCGCGGGCGGGGGGAGGCGGCCGCGCGGTCTGCCTCCTCCTCCTCCTCCTCCTTCACGTCTGCGGGAGCGGGAAGAGTGGTGGCGGCCCGCGGAGGGGCGGCGCGCGGTGGCCGGTGGGGGGAGCTCCCCGTTGGGCGGCGATACTCCATTTGGAGCGTGCGGCGCATTTGAATTGGGCGCAGAACCATGCGCCGCAGGAGGAAGGGGCGCCAGGAGCTCCGCATACGCCGGCCCACCTATCCGCCCCGTCTCGATGTCCGCGAGGCTGCTGTCGAACGACGCGTTGCCGGAGTCGAATTCGAACGAGTTGGTGCCGTTGCCGTTGCGGTAGGCGTCGTGCGGCGCCCACTGTTGCGGCGGGAGGAGCGGTTGGGGGGATTGGGAGACGTACTGTGTTGATTTATGTAACGAGTGCGGTAGGAAGAGGAAGGTGGACGCACATCGCGGGCATTCCCAGGCGGGGTGAGGATTACCTGGTCTGCGTTAGAATTGAATTACAGAGGAAACAAGGCCGGCGCAGGACACCTTGATATACGCCCAAAGCATCCACGCATACAGAATACTCCACCCCACCAGCAGCCCGACTATTCAACAGAACAATCATCAGCGATCCCCCGAAAATAGATAGATAAACACTCACTTCCCTCAGGCCTCTTCCCCCCGTTCATAAGCCTCACCGCAAAGCGCCCCGCATAGACATACGCGGTGTACCCCATGATCCCGAGCGTAACGAGCACCATGAGCTTGCGCACGGCCCACGGCTGCGGCTTGCGCTCGCGCCGCTCGCGGGCGGAGACGCGCGCCTCGGTTATGGTCCCGCAGAATGTCGGCTTGTCGAGGACGACCTTGTCCATAGGTGGCGGCGCATTTGGCATTGGGGATGACGCAAAATGAAGCCGGGCACAGCCATTGTGGCACAATCACAAAATGAACTGTTGACGGATAGGGGTCGACCTTGTTCAACGCTGTCCTATGAGCTGCTGAGCTGCTGAGCATGATGAACATGACCGCTTCAATATTGAATATTGAGAATGCGCAGCTGGGAGTCAAAGAACAAGGTCTGACCGAAAACACAGGATCGAAAAAAAGATACACCGAAGGGGAGTCGAACCCCTGCCGCTTGCTTCAAGGGAAACATATTTGTAATGGAAGGCAAGCATGATAACCGCTTCACCATCGGTGTCTGCGTAACTCCTCTCCCTGTAATGGGCTATATCGGCTCGTTGAGCTTCGGCTGAAGTTCGAGTGTGTTGTAAGTTTTCAGCAAACGCATGGCTGCCCGGACAGAAGGTGTGGCTTTCTCAGGCTCTCTCAGGCTCTCTCTCTCCATCTGCCAAAGCCACGTCCCGCTCAATAGGTACTCGATACTGGGTGAAAACTATCCAGTTCATCTATTGTGTCCAAATAGCCTTAGGCTCGTTGCCCGGCAAACAACAGGCCTCGGAGTACAGCATGTTTCGTTTATTCAAGGAGACGTTCAAAGTGATGGGTCTGTATCTCGCCGTCTTCGAGTCTAAGCGTAAGTATAGAGGGCGGAGTGGCCGGAGGAGTTGCGGTAACGCGCACGACCTCGCGATTTGGTATCCGCGGACCGTATGCGACAGAAGGGAGGGAGGAGCGCGGCGCGGCGCGGTGAGGAGGGGCGAGGCGGGATAGCGAGAGGGGTTAGCACAACCACACGAATTAATACACTCGATGCGCTTAGACACGGAGGGGAGGAAGGGCAGGACCACGTTAGCGTCGGCGGAGGAGGACGCGGGGAACGCCATACATATGGACGGATGAATCCATGCACGCATGAAAATGTAGCATTTAATATATTACTTACTTACGAATGACATGGTGTTATAGGGTGGACTAGGCCATTAAATGACGAATACCCCGCAGAAAGGTGAACGAATACCTAAAATGCAGGGCGATGCATAAAAAAATACACCGAAGGGGAGTCGAACCCCTGCCGCTTGCTTACATTAGAAATAGGGACGGCGCAATGGAAGGCAAGCATGATAACCGCTTCACCATCGGTGTCCACTGTGTCAGGGATCAGTCCAGTGTTCACCAAAGGTAGCTCTCCGTCTCTCCGGACAGATGCGACAATGCCTTATCGCTCGATAACCCCGCGCACCGTTGGCCCTATATCTATCGAGTCTCAAATATCATTAAATTATCGAACAACACAACTCGTTTGGAGTCTATCGTAGCGGCGCGGGGAAGCAAGAGTTCGACGAGGTTGAATCCTCGTAAACGGGCGGGCAGGCAACACAAGTCGAAGAAAAGCCGGCATATAAATGTCCGATCTTTATATTATGACATAGGAGTTGTAGGAATTACTATCATCCTCTCCTCGAATCGGGAACAACCACATCAGTAGAACCACTGTTGGTTGGGGTTGCTACCCGGAGCCGCGCAATCCCACATCTGGATCTAGAAAAGGGTCAACCACAGCTCCTTGGTGCCGGAATAAACAAAAAACAAAAAAACGCACGGGATTGCCATTCTTGAGGGCCCCATCAGTCAGGTCGGCGCACTTGCCCTTCCCGCTCCACTCGACCTGCCCGGTGCCGCGCCCGATCTTGAACATCTGGTTCGTATTGCCCGGCGTGCACGTCCAGAGCTGCAGCTTCACGCCGTTGGCGGTCGACCCGCTCGGCACGTCGAGGCAGAACTGGTTGTTGAACGTCTTGATCTGGCCCGCGAGCGGGGGGACGGGGACGGTCCAGGTGATGTTGCCGTTCGGGAACGTATTGTGGAAGTCGGCGTTGTTGAGGCACTCGACGAGCGCGACTTCGGCGCCGTCCGTGGCAGAGGCCGCGCCGAAGCAGTAGGGCGGGTCCACTGGCAGATGCAGTCAATTGGGAGTGTGCAGAGAAGACAACAAGGGATGATATGCGTACAACTTATAGTACTGGCGATTTCATCGCCACGCCTGCAGAAAATTCAGTTTGTTTCGGTCAAAAGAAACGCACGAAATGCTCACTGCTCGGTGTCGGGGTTGGGAGCGCCCGCCCAGTTCTGATTCGCGGAGCCTTCCGTACACGTCCAAATCTGCAGCACGTTGCCGTCCGTAATCTTCCCATCCGAGAGGTCGATGCACTTGTCCGTGCCGCTCCATTGGAAGGTGTTTTCCGTAGGCTGCGCAATCCACTGTTGATTCTTGCTCCCCGAGATACATGACCAAATTTGCAGCTTCGTGCCGTCGGCGTTGACGCCGTCCTTCACGTCGATACACTAGAAAATACGGAGATGAAGACCAATCACTGGCATAAACATTAAGTAGGAATCCCACCTTGTCCCCGAATATCTTGATTTGTTGCGGGCCGACAGGAGTCCGTACGTCGAACGTCACGTTCCAGTCTTGGTTTGCGGTATTCTCGGTGTTGCAGTTGTGGATGATGAGCGGCTCGCCATCCGCGTTGTCGGCCACGGCCATACAGCCCTGGATTCCAGCATTGAAAACTAAGTTGATTCAACATGGTCAGTCGCGAATAGCATTCGTGGGTCGACGAGGACGTACAGGCGGGGTTGGAGCTCTGGACTTCGACGGCAGCGACGGAGAGAGAAAGGGACACGACGGCGAGGAGAGCAGCGAACATGGCGTTTTCGATGATGAGACTGGCTTGACCCCTTCCTCAGCTGCCTCATTTTATAGTACAACAGATTTGAATAGGCGGGGGGAGATGCCCTCCTCACGTCATGACCTGAAACGCTGCATTAAATAGAACGAGGTGTATAAATTCCGGGCCCTGCGAAGCCGTCTCGGGAGGTTTCAACATTCATTCGGGTGTTCTCTTTGGCGACTCAGCCCACATTGACGTGCCGACACCGGACCAAGTTCCGCTTTTCTGAAACAGCAGTACTGAGTGAGTCACCGACATGCGCCGTCGGTCTGTGTTGCAATTTGTCATGCATCGTGGAATATATCTTCCTTCCTTTCTTCCTATCGTCGGCGAGGTTTGAGGTCCGAGGACCAAGGTAACTCCAACCACGGCTCCCGTACGCCGTGGATTGTTGCCTCCATAATTTTCCTCTTGCTTTCAACGCGCTCGTAACCCCGATTTCGGACCAGTGTTTTGAGAGTAAGCAGGGTTGAAGACAACAATTGAAAAATGAACTCGAAGCGACACAACAGAGAGGCGAAAGGTGAATTCTTCGCAAGAGATGTCGTCAAGAGGTCTGGCTTCTGATGTGTCAAGCAAGTAAGCGAAGTGATTGATCTCGGCACGGCTCGGCCTTGTACTGCGCGCCGTGCCCGTGACGGTCACTGACGGCCGTCGAAATGACGGGTAAGCAACGGCACGGCCGTTCATCTGACGACCGTCGAGTGGGAGTTCCAGAGCCTCAACGACGGCCGTAACGGGTCTATGGCCATATGTTAGTATGAAAATATTTTTTCAACCCTTGAAATGTCTTGTTATAACGCAACGAGACTGCTACTATAACTTTAATTAAACACTCCCTTCAAGCCTCTTGGTTGATTTCGCCTTGCAAGTTCAATTTCAGGAGCAACTGGGGGGAGAAGGCACTCAAGAAAGGAATACACTTGTCTAGAACTTCAAATGAGAACTCTTACACGACTGGCAATCCATTTTGGGCAACTTCTCCTTCCTTTGCGCATGAGGAGCGAAATATTGAGCTGTGGTTGAACCTCGGCAATCATGTTCGGAAGGTGCCGAACATTACACAGAACGAAGGTTTCGGGTACACAAAAAGTTAATATCTGAAGAAATGATATGGAGTATACTCCTGGAAGACGCAAGACATCTTGCGGAAAATATTGGCTCTAGCCATTATTTTGAAGGCAAAAACGATGGAGCCGTTCGACGGCCGTCACGGCCGTTCTCTGACGGGCGGTCCGGGCATCAACCCGTCCCGTAACCGTCCCGGCGTTGCGGATGGAGAAAAATCTTCAAAGGGACGGTACGGGTACCGGTTCGACGGGTGCCGTAGAACCGTCGCAACGGGCACGGCGTGCAGCTCTATCTTTAGCAGACGCTGCATCCCCTGCTCATCTGCTACTAATTAATTTGTTCACCTTTATTTTGAATGAGATATGTTGGTGATATGTATCTTGTGCATGTGTATGCCCACAAATTTTGACATTTGACCTGGACCATGACAAACTTTCAAGACTCTGTATTACCAAACAATGAACATGTAACACGATCTGAACACATTCACGTTTATGCTTTCGAGACCACGTTGTACCTACAATGGACGATTTGCGCTTACCCAAGCACTCTGTTTTGCATCTTGATTCTTGATAAGTGGACGCCTTCTGGTTCCAGGCTCCTCGTTCAGTCGGCCCTCAACTTCAACCGTCGATTCTTTGATCACCAACACATTCAGTTCGGTCCTCAGTTCTGCTCTCCAAATCCCGGCTGGGCCTTCACTTCAATCAACCGTCGGTTCTTTGATCGACACCTTCAGTTCGAAACAGTGTTGTCCCTAAGACCTAAGGCCTTAGCTTGAACCTAAGGCCTTAGGCCTTGAATAAGGGCTTAGGTTAAGCCCTAGGTTGAGGCCCGGTTTTCATCTAAGGCCTTAGGCATCACGTGTGCCAATGGTTTTTTATTCAATTAAATTAATTTTGATGCTGAATTAGTGGTTATATCAACCCAACTGGCCACCAGGACACCAAGAGTGCTTTCAACCTGCACCTAGAGGCAATAGAGACAGAGAAGAAGCATATCCACAGTGCTGGGAGTCAAAGTAGCTAATGTGCCTACAGCTGGGAACCATCTTCCCTTTTAGGAAATCAAGGCCTAAGACCACCTAAGGCCTATGGCCTTAACCTAAGCCCTAAGGCCTTAGAAATTCTGGAGGTCGATTTCTAAGGCCTTAGGGCCATCACTGGAACTTCGAAAGGAGTCTACAAAATGAATACAGCTCTACTCCCCAAATCTAGCTCGATCCCTACACGCTCACTGCGTCTCCAGCCGTCCCATCGTGCCCGAATGAAGGCAGGTTGTTGGAGTTTGGCTGGATGCTATGTCACCGGTATCAGGCTTCACTGGCCTGCGCGCTTGAATCCAACGCGCCCCCAGCACCCCAAGCACTCTCTGAAAACAAATTTGTTGGCACTCCTCGGCGTCGGCCCCCAGTCCGTCTTCCGTCTTCCAGCCCATCCCATATACCTTTCAATTCCCTCAAACTTCGGTCTTGTTAGTTATCCGCCTTGCTCCA